CGTCTCCGGCTTCTTCCCCTCTGGCGGGCGCCAGGGCTGGGGACCGAGCCTGGGGCCTGTGCCCTGGGCTACAGCATTGCTCTTTCCATCTGTTTCTTTTTGAACATGCTCTAAATCGCTAAATTTCCCGGACAGGGCTCAAATTTGCGATTGTCCTGCCTCAGCCTCCCACTGTGTTGGGATTGTAGTTCCTCCTGTGACCTCCTCCCGCTTTCCCTCTTCCTCCCTCCCGATGCCTCCCTTTTCTCCCTCCTTTCTCCATAAAGTCTCTCACAGCGAAGCAGCGCTCCGGAGGCTGAGACAGGAGGATCGCCACTAGTCAGAGACCAGCCTGGGCTACATGCGAGGCTTTGCCTCGAGATAAGTAAAACTATATTTTAAGGGCCAGGGCGATGGCACCACTGAGCTAAGTCCCTGGCCCTAAATAGTTCTCCAGCCTGGGCTACATGCGAGGCTTTGCCTCGAGATAAGTAAAACTATATTTTAAGGGCCAGGGATTTAGCTCAGCGGCACCACGCCTGTCTCACAAGCGCAAGGTCCTGAGTTCGATCCACATACCAAATAAATAAAGCAATATTTACAAATAAATAAATAAGAGGCCCTAGAAACCCCTCTCTCCTTCCACTCGGTGAATTCGCTGATGCCTGAGCTGGGCTTCTGCCAGGATCCTCTCTCTGGTCCGCGAGCCCCTCCTCCGGGTGTGGTCTGGGTACCGCAGGAGACCGTCCTGCACCTGCGGGGTCTGTGTCCCTCCCTGGCCCCACCCGCCCCCAGCAAGCGCGTGGCAGGTGCCATTTATGACATTTATTATCTATCTCTTTTTGTTCCACCGGGCTTTGAACCCAGGGCTCCACTGAGCTACATCTCTAGCCCTTTTAAATAGTTTCGTTCTCTTTTGTGGGGGATACCCTGGGACGAACTCAGGACCTGTGCCTGCAAAGTGGGCGATGGCACCACTGAGCTAAGTCCCTGGCCCTAAATAGTTTCTTTTTCAACCAGGGGTCTCATCAAGAGGCTAGATTGCCCAGGTGTGGCTTGAACCTGCACTTTCCTGCCTCAGCCTCCCAGAGTGCAGGGAGGACATGGATGCCGCTCTGGCTCCTGCTGAGTCCTTGAGTCTCCAGTCCCTGCACTGCAATGTGTTGACCTGTTTGCCACTGTGTCCTCCTTGGGGAGCTCAGGTTAGGGGACAGGGACACGGGAGGGCAAAGGACTAGTGGAGGTGCAGCCTGGCCCCGCCCCGCCTGAAAGAAGCGCCCCTTCCTGCACTCCCAGGGTCCACCTGGCTCCCTTTTTTTGTTGATTTTTTTTGTTTTTTTGTTTGTTTGTTTGTTTTTTGAGACAGGGTCTCATTGTGTAGTTGAGACTGACCTGGAACTCACTGTGTAGCCCAGGCTGGTCTCGAACTCACAGGGATCCTCCTGCCTCAGCTTCCCTTGGTAGCTGGGGTTACAGATGTGCACTACCATGGCTGGCTAAGCACTGTTCCGACTAGTGATGGACAACTCTGTGGTGGTTGTGGAAGGAGTTATGTCCCTGGCTTCCGTAAACCTCAATCCTCCTGCCTCAGCCTCCCTAGTTCTGGGATTGGCTGGCCTGGCCACCTGCGCTGAGGATGGGCTGAGCTGGTTTAACTACAGCGCAGCTGTCCCAGGGCTCTGTGGCGTGGAGCCTGCTGCCTTCAGCCCCACAGCAGATCCCAGACCTAGTGGAGAAACTCATGACAATTTGCACAACCTAAAAGCGACTTTCTGGCCAGGCGCTGCCCCACATGCCTGTGACCCCTGCACTCAGAAGGCTGAGTCAGGAAGATCACAAGTTTGAGGTCTGCCTGGGCACATAGCAAGATCCTATTTCAAAAAAAAAAAGAAAAAGCAAAATTGTTCTGCTTCTGTTTCTCAATGGATTTAGAAAAAAGCTGGTAATAAAAGGAAACAACGCCAAGAGGAGGTGCTGGAGGAGGACAGCGGGGAGAGTAAGGAGCCCCGTTTTTGTGTGGAGGTCACACGGGTGTCAGGGTGAAAGTGACCTCACCACACCAAGCTAAAAACAAAACACCAGATGGGCAGCTGGCCATGTTTCTTTGGGGCTCTGGATCTTGCTTCTGCAATCGGCACCAGTGCGTCAACAGTAAATGTAAACCTGTTTGTCTGAGACAGGGTCTTGCTGTATATTCCAGGCCAGCCTCAAACTTCAGGCCATCCTCCTGCCTCAGCCTCCCTTCTGATGGTGGGATCACAGGTATTTGCCACACCTGGCTAAATGAGAAACCTGTAAAAAAATAAAATAGTAGGTTAATAAGTTATTTCTAAATTCAATGAGAAAATGCCAGCCGTAGTGGTGCATGCCTGTAATCGAGGCACTCAGGAGGCTGAGGCAGGAGGATTACTGTGAGCTTGAGGTCAATCTGGGCTACATTGATAGTCCAAGGCCAGCCTGGATTATATAGTAAGACCTTGCCTCAAAAAGAAAAAAAAATTATCGAGAATAAAATTGGAGTTGAAGAAAATGTAGGCTATTGATACTTATCTTTGAAAAAAAAAGAAAAATGAGCCAGGTGTGGTGGCGCACACCTGTAATCCCAGCACTAGGGAGGCTGAGACAGGAGGATTGTTGTGAATTCGAGACCAGCCTGGGCTACATACTGAATTCCAGGTCAGTCTCAACTACATACTGAGACCCTGTCTCAAAAAAACCAAAAAAATAAAAATAAAAATAAAATAAAATAAAGAAAAAAGGTAGCTGAGTGGAGTGGTACAGGACCAGAGTCCCAGCACTCTGGGAAGCTGAGGCAGGAAGTTTACAAGTTCCAGCCTAGCCTGGGCAATTTAGGATTTTATTAGACCCTGTCTCAGCTCAAAAATAAAAAAGGGCTGGGGATGTCACTCAGTGGGAAGTCCCAGGTTTCAATCGTCAGCATCACAGAAAAAGAGAGGAAAGGAAAGGGGAGGAGAGGGAGAGAGAGAGAGAAAGGAGACAATGAACGCAGACCGCCGGGAACCCTGAAATTCCCTGTTTTTTTTGGCACCCGGATCGAACTCAGGACCTTGCGTTTGTGAGACAGGCAGGGGAACCACTGAGCCAAATCCCCAGCCCTCAAACTCCTTTTTCATAACTGATACTTTCTGCTCCATCCAGATGCAAACGCAGCCTCCCTTCTTGCAGAAAAGGAAGAGAAAACACAGCACCTCCCTCCAGCACACCCTGGGTTCGCGCCGAGCTGAGTCACCTGCAGCTGCTGTCTCCGCCTGGTCCCACCTGCTCCCAGTTCCTCCTCTTTCTCCTTGGCTTCCTCTCCCCAGCTG